TTTAAATTGTAAAACTCTTATTTACTTATTTAATATTATAATTAATTAATTTGTATAGAATAAATGAAATTTCTTTTTTATTTTTATTTTATTTTATTTTATTTTATTTTTTAATAAAAATTTTTTAATTTCGAAAAATTATATTTATTTAATGATTACATGTATAAAAATTGCAATCAAAATTACGTATATAATTTAATGTTTATATGTTAAAATACAACCAAAAATAACATATACAATATACTGATTAGACGTAAAAAATGCAACCAAAAATAACATATATAATATACTGTTTAGACGTAAAAATTCAATCAAAATAACATATACAATATACTGATTAGACGTAAAAATGCAACCAAAATTAATATATATAAAATACTGATTAAAATAAATTCTGTATTTTTTTTGCATATGGAAAAGGACGATTTTTAATATCTAATATACGAAAATATTTATAATATATTATAAAATCTTGCCAAAAATAACGTATACAATATACTGATTTAACATATAAAATTTAACAAAAATTACGTATATATTATATTGATTAGACGTATAAATTCAGTATTTTTTTACATACAGAAAAAGATGATTTTTAGTATCTAGTATACGAAAATATTTACGAATTTATTATACTATTTTTCTACGTTTATTATATGTTTTTTAAACGTATTATTTCTGTATACTTTCCTTATACATATTATTTATAAGGCAATTTTACTATATATTACTAAGTAAAATTTATAACATCTGATAATTTATTGTAGGGCAGTGTATAATGCATGTTTACACACTTAAATTCATTAAACATAATATGAATTTTAGTTTAATAAATTCAGTATAGTAAGATTTTTTCTATTACTCTATGTATTTCTTATTATAAAATAATAAAGTTACTGGTAGTGTTATATCGAAAAAAAAAAGGTTTTTTCTATGAAAAACTCTTTCCTTTCATTGGATTTTATCCAAGAATTTTTATTTTAAAAAAGTGTCTGTTCAAAGGCGGCTACAGCTTAGCTTGCAAATAAAACAAAAATCCTCTCTTTTCAAAAATTTTCCTCTCTTTATTTCCCTAACCCCTACTTAAATGAAAATTGCTATTGAAGTCTAAATCATATTATTTTTTGTTAAAATATTTTTTTTCACCTCTCTTTGATATATTTTTTCTCGTTTTTTCTTTTTCAAAAAGAATTGCCTACAAAAGTAGGCATCAAGGGGTATTCTAACCAACGATCAGGATTGATATGCTTTAGATAAAAATCCCATGTGATGACACTTCCTTTTTTATTCTTAAATAACTACACTTTCTTTGATTGATTAAAAACCTTTCACGTAGATTCTGACATACGATCACAGAATACTATGTAATGTTTTTTCTGGATTTATATAACTGTACGATGATCACTATTTGGACAAATCTTATGATACTATCTCATGAACCCTGTGGCTCATTTTATAATTATGCGAGTTTAAAGAAACTCTACTAGAACTTAGTGGTTTGGATACTTCTGTAACGAGTGGTCATTATAATCTGGAATTGACTGGATATTTTAGCTAGAAATTTAGTAGAGTCTCCTTTAAGTTGCTTCTTTTTGTAAATTCTTTAGCGTAAATGATCGGGTCTCATAGTTATTTCTTATAAAATATATGAGCCATTAGTTGAAGGGTTATGTGTGTCTTTTTTCTTTTTTAGGAATTTACTTTAGAAAGAAGATAACTAAGTAGTATTGATTATAGTTTAATTCCATCCCTTATTGATAATAGTAGTCATTATACACATGTGTAATGAGCCTATTAGAGGATAGTGGTAATGCTTGATCGACTCAAACGAACTTTAAATGTAATTATGGAAGGTAGCTAGTCATTTGTAAATTAGTTTTTGATTTTACTTTCATTGTATTGTTTTTTGTATAAATTAATAAAATGATTTAGCAGTACCGCATTGTTACACTTTAAAAAAAAGTTTTTCTATATTTAAAAATCTGTATCATACTATAAATCTGTTATATCATAAAATTCGTTATATCAAAATTTGCTATAGAAAGAGTTGACTGTATATTTTAAAAGCATAGTTTTTAAAAGTAACACTCTGAAAGTATTATTATTTAAAGTAATGCATCTGAAACATTTTTTTAAAGTAATGCTCCAGAAGAGTTTATTTAAAAAAACTCTTCAAAAACGTTATTCTTCAAAGAAATATTACCAGAATTATTTTTCTTTAAAAAACTATGTTAGAATCATTTTTTTTTATAGAAAACATTATCAGAATCATTTGTTTTTAAAGAAATTGTTGCCTAAAATATTATTCTTCAAAGTTAATCTGTTGGATTTATTATTTTTGAAAATGAAAAATTTAAGTTGATGAGTTAATTATACAGGAATATTGCCAGTAAAATCAACTTAATATATAGTAAATCATATGATCTATGATATAATTTTACTGGTAATTATTTGTATATACTGTAAGTATTATTTTTTGATAAATAATATTTAATGATATTTAAAATTAACTTTAATTAAAAGTAATGTTTATTTTAAATTTAAAAAATCTATTAAAGAAATAATAGATAAATAAATAAATATAAATAATTTAAAAAGTTATAATAACTTGAGTTTTATTGTAAATTTATAAGATACTATCTATATTTTATATTATAAAACTTTTATATAAGTAATCTAAGTGATTAATTAATTAATAAATATAAAAATAATAATAAATTGTATTAGTTATTATAATATTAGTCTAATTAGCTATTAATAAGATTAATATAAAGTTATATGATAAATAGTTATTGGTTTTATAGTAATTTATTAAAAATTAAAGCAATTTAAAAGTAAAACTTAGAAGTTGAATTTACTAGATCTTAATAGTATTATTAGGGTAAAACCTATAGTAGAGTATAATAAATAAAAATAATAAATAATGATTACAGTAAACTTAGATAGTAAGTTCTTAAGATTTAATTGAAGGTTAAATCGTAGTTTAAGTGATTCATAACTTGCTAAATAACAATAACCTCTGGGATAAATAATATTAGTAAGGTAGTTTTAGTTGGTCTTAGTGTTAAAATAAAGATCTTAGATAAATATGAATCAGGTAAATGGTTCATATATCTATTAGTATTGTGCATTCTCAAAAAAAAATGAAAGTTTTGTTGGATAATATAACAAGTATAAATAATGCAATTGCAATTCGAAAAAAGCTTAAAATCAAAAAAAATTGAAGTTGTAAAAGTATAGTAAACAGACCTTCCATCAAAAAACCTTGCCTTTAGAATTGCTAATAAGAATTTTTAAAAAAGTATTAATCATGAATTGCAGAGGATATGAATAATGTTATTTGGCTAAACGAGTCAAAATTTATAATTTATGGATTAGACACCATTACGCAAATCATCATGTTAAACGGTCCTATTTGGATGGTTCAGATTATATTGTGCGGGGGTGTTTTACATAGGATGAAGCAAACATTTGTAGGCCCTTTTCGTTTAAAAATGTTTCATGTAATTGTGGATTGTAAAAAAAATTTAATGAGCCCCGCTGAGACAGTATGATATCAATATTATGCCAACTCATCTAGAGCTAATGACGACTAAGTTTTAATGTAATTATTTTTTTTATTTACATAAGAAATTTAATAGAAAATCGGTCAAAAGAAAGCATCGCATAGCATAAATTTCTTAACACTGCGTAACGATTTTATAAGTTGATTCTTTATAATTGGTCTATATATAAGTTTTGTAACGTTACGTAATATTGCAATTTGCATTAATTGACCGCCACAGGAAGATTGCTTTCGAGGGTACATATGTACTAGTCGGATTAGGTAGTAATTTTCATTATTCAGACATTTTTATTTATTTTTATTTTTATTTTTTTTTTTTTAAAAAAAAAGAAAAAAAGGTTATCTACTTAGTCAAAAATGATTATAATTATAAAAGGTTTTTGAATATATAGAAAAATTATTTAATTAATTAAAATAAGAAATTTAAATCGAATAAGAATTTTTAATTAAAGTTATTTTTATGAAGAAAAATAAAAAATGTCATTTATAAGGCAAGAATAAATTTGAACTTAATTAATGATTATCATTACAACGAATTATTGTAAAAACAAAAAAAATAAAGGAAAGTAATTAAGGAATATACTGTATATAAAGATGGTGAAAGAAGAACCATTAAAGGAGAAAGGTTGAAAGATGTAAAAAATGAAGGGTATGAGATTTTATCTTGTTATTTCGGTCCAATCGAATTCTTCTATATCATTTTCAGCATTAATATTCCAGTCGTAATCATCATTGAACAATTCAGCATTAGCATCGATTTTAAAATCCTTAAAAATAAAAAATTTAATTAAAATCTAAAATTTTTTTTAAAAGATAAATATGGGTCCTAAAAACTCAAGAACTTACTAAATTTTTATTTAATGACAATGCCATATCATTTCCAACATATAAATTGGAAAATGCGATATAACTAATAAACATTAATAATACAATGAAGAATCCATAAATCACGAAATTTTTAAAATTTGATTTTTGTGAAAAAAAATGCTCAAAAGTTGGTTTTGAGTATAACGGTAATGTATAATTTAATGATTGTTCCATCATGATGATCATATATTCCTAAAGAACGTTTGGTTTTCTTTTTTGGCACATGAATTTAAAGAAATAATGAAACTGAGATTTGTGAACATTTTCGTTCCTTTTATAAAATTATTTTCTTTTTCTTGGCAAGCAACTTAAACGGGTTTTACAAGCGGCTTATATCCAATAACAAATAAGTAGGCTTTTATTTATAAATTGTGAAATTTATGGAAATAACACATTACACAGAAACCATAAAAAAATCGTTTTTGAATTTGACCGATACAATATACTGTATATATTTATTTAATTCTTCCTTATTTAATACATGATCTGCAACTTAAAAAGCGTTAAACCAATAATTAATTATGTAATCCGTAGATCGATCAGATGATGATCAACGACTGGAGAATGTTGTTTTTATTTGTCGAGCTAAACAAAATTGATCGGATGGAATGACGACAATTTATTTTAATTTATTTATTTTATATTTTTAGATGATACAAAATAAATTTTGTGGTAGCTAATTAGCTAATCCCATGCAACATAATTTTTGTCATGTGATAAAAATTATTATATAAGAGAAACTGCGCCACGAAATTATTATCAATTTTATAAAGAAACACGCGCAATGATGTAAATTTGGGTAGCGCAGGCAGTAAGTGCAAGCGTCTATTAAATTATATTTGCGCTTATTATTATTTTACTTTTCCATATGGTCTACACAATATTTTTACATTTTGCGCTTATAAAATATTTTGAATTTGTCATTGAACATGCGGTCCAAATAACTCGTAATTTTTGTAACGACGGGCTCGTGAAGTCATCAAACATGTAAAATTAGCGGGAATTTCGGGAAAAATTTTTTATATCTCAAAAAATATTTCTTTTAAAATCCTCTCTAATTTAAACAGGAATGATTTTAAAAGATAAATATTTGATTAGCACTTATCTTCCTTTGTGGATACCTTCTTTCCTTAGAAATAAATTTACATAACGGCCAACGTCAAAGCTATGTTGGAATGTCGTGGAAGCTTGCGAGACCCAATTCAATCCAATCAAATATTCAATTGGATAAGGAAATCTTAATATGGTTTGCCTATTTAAATGCATTTTTTTTTTTTTTTTTAAGTTATTTATTTTATTTTTTACAAAAAAAAATATATATATAATTACAAACTTATACCTTAAAAATCGTATATTAATTCTTAGGTCATAAAGAAAAAAAAATAAAGCATATTTTATTACTACAATTTCTCAATTTCTTTTTTCCACACTTTTTTTTAAAAAAAAAAAATAAAATAAAATAAAAATTTTTTTTTTTAATTTTTAAGAAGTTCCAACACATTCAGATTTTCAGATTATATGCCGCCACTTTTTTATTTGTTTGGTTTTATTGCTTGTTTGTTTGATCCTAATAATTCCTGTTGACAATATATACTTTTTTTGTTAATTTTTTACAAAAGTTTTTGATTCCCCCAAGAAAATACAGCCCTAATTTTTTTTAGTATTTTTTTTTTAATTTTAATTTTTTTTTTTTTTTTTTAAAAAAAATTTCCAAAATGTCAATTCTATTTAGCGGAGGAAAAAGAAGTTTTAAAACAGCACCCTTTAAACTTTCTAATTCATTGACATTTCTCAATAACATCAATTTAATATTTAACTACAATATCATCCAGGGATAAGAATTTTAAACTTCCATCTCCATTGATTGGTAAACTATCAAAATCTAAGTGAAGACCACCAATTCCAAGATTAACATATTTCAAAGTACCTTTTCTTATGGCAAACCTTTTAATTGAATCAATATGAGAATCGGTTAAAAATATACGAGGATAAGAATTTATCACAAGCTTTTTTAGAGGGGCTCGACAATGCATTAAGAAAGTGTTTAATTGATCAGATGTCAAAGGCATTAATAATTCCAAGTAATGTAGAGAAGGAGGAACCACTTTACCCATTTCATTTAGAATTATTTCTGTGTCCTCAATAGAATTTGAATGTATGACTAAATATTCCAATTGACAACCACTTACTAACAATAATAAATGTGAAATGAATAGTGACGCTATTGAAATATTTAGATAAGTGATGTTTGGACAATATCTCGGTAAAGCTTCTACCAGGGAATTTTTAATTGGATTTATGATTAAATGTTCTAAACTCCAGCCGACTTTTTCTAAAAGAGGTAACACGGATTCATAATCACTAATTTCAATTAATTCTAAAGTTCTAATTTTACATTTTGCTTTAATTAGCGGACGAAAAGTTTCAATATCACAATCTTTACCACCGATAAATCGTATTGTCTCTAATTTTGTACAATGTTCAAGACCATCTAAGGATACTTTACGAAAATCTATACATTCGAATTCCAATGAAGTTAGGGTTTCCGATTTTTTTGCCAACGTGGCAACCGCGGATGTCACTCTGCTTCCAAAAGATCTAAATTTTACATTGGATAATTCTTTTTGTGATTCAATTAAATTTACTAAAGTTTGACCACTTGTCCAGTGCATGTCATTTGCATCAACATCCAAGATTCTAATCCTTTTACAAATATTTGGCAATTCATTCCAAAGTTCACTTAAATTAAATAATACTTCAGATGAGGAGAAATTACTAAATATGCAAACCAATTTTCTTATATTTGAAATGAAATTTAAATTTCGTTTAATTAAAGAAATTTCTACTGCAATATCCATTGATCCAGCAGATACATCCAATGTGAGACTATCCAATTTTGCTCCACTTTCAATAAATAATTTATATAAAGCCCTTAACATCATTTTAGTCACATTTCCTTTGTCTTCCGACGTTGTGGAAGAATTTATCCATAAGGATACATATTTTCCTAATAATCTCGTATTTAAACTTTTTAAAAATGACGCATATTTAAAAAATGGTGATCGTTTCGTCGTCGTTATTCTCTGAGGTAAAGGTAAATTATTCGAAAGTGAGATTTTATCTTGATCATATTTAAGACATCTAAAATATGTTTGCAATAAAGAGAGAATTGAATTTTCCGATAACTTTGATGTAAAAGGTTCAAACCATAATCGAGGGACCGATGTTATACACCAATGTCGATTAACCAAAACACACGAATGTAATGATGGGATATCATTTTCTAGATGTTTTAATATTTGTATCATAGATTCTGGTGGTAATGATGGAGCTATTGGTCTTTCCACATAAGAATTCATAATTCCTAAAAAACTTGAAAAAAAAAAATTTTTTTTTTCTTTTTTTCTTAAAAAAATTAAAAAAAAAGAAAAAAAAAGAAAAAATTTTTTATTTTTTTTTTCTCTGAAATGTAATGGGAAAAAAAAAAGATGTTGCATTGAACACCATTTCTTTTTTATTTGTTATGTAACCAAAAATAAACTGTTGTAATACATTTAGTACTTCCAATCGTTAACTACAAAAGTAAAAAAAGTTCAAAGATCATTCGGTCATTTGATCATAACAATGAAACCTTAAACATCTAAATTCATCATTTTATCATAAGAACAATGGGTTTCTTTCCGCAGTTTTATTTTTACTCCACAATTGAATTACCAAAAACGCCAAATATCCTTATTAGTTTTGAAAAATGCAAAATGTCCTTGGTCAATTATCTTGGTCAAGGCGTTTCTTATTTTAAAACGTTACTCCTGTGTTACACTGGTGCTCCTTGTGTTATGCCCCAAATCAATGACGCATATCACGTGAGATGCTGGCGTCGCTCCAACTTGCCGCAGCATTATCTTGTGACAATGGTAATCGTTGATAGATAGTTCGTTCTTTGACCAGAAGTAACTTTTTTTTAAGTGAACCCACCCTTTCCAAATAATTAAAACGAATACTCAACAAAGGAAATGCACAAACCAGAACGAATACGTTCCATTTATCCGGCTTCTACGTGTTATTCACAGAACACATTTTATTTTCAATCCGAGAAAATTTTTTTATTCACAAGTTCATGGCTACTACAATTTACAAGTTGAGTGAAATACAAAAAAAAAAAAATGCTTTCTTTTCTCTCTTTTTTTTTTCGTAAATCTAAATGTAAACAAAAACTGTTTTATTATGACTGCCCTATATATATAATTATTTCCGATTGTTTATGTACCTTTTTAAGTTTTTTTTTTATTGATTGATTGATATTGTTTTACGAGGAATTTTAAATTTTGACGGGGAAAAACGGAGATATGATAGTAATACAAGGAAAGGATTTACTTTATTAATCTGATACCAGACATGCGAACTTTCGATCACGCAAGTATAATCATTAAAATAAATTTGTGAAAAAAAGATTTACGGAACCTTGAATCATTTATGGTAATGAAATTATAATTTTAATCAAAACTGTCATTACTTGACACTTTCTTGTACAACCAAGCAAAGAGTTTTTAGTTTTATTCATATTTTTGACATTTGATTAACTATAAATCCATGCCATGTGTTGTTGTCTTTCAATCACTAAAAAAAAAAAATTTTTTTATATAAAAGCAAAAAGATAAGGTCAATGTTTAACAAACCAGTAATATATCACGATTTTAACATGATTTCTTTGATTGGATTATCTTTAACTTGAAAATAATTTTTAATTTTGCATGTTGCATGAATTGAAATTGTTTCAACTGATATAACGATAAAATAAATATTTGATTTTTAAAATAACTGAAACAGCATGTGTGCATCTATTTACATGCTGAAAAAAAACGTGTTAAACTTTACGATAAAATTTATTTTTCATACCACAACCTTAAATACATTTATCCGATAAAGGTTCAAAAAAAAATCTTTTTTATTTTCTTATTTCTTAAAAATTAAACTATCGTCATCTTGTGATCTCTACGAAAAAGGAATTCTGATACGTTTGATGTTCTATTAGTTTTTTAAATGCGGAGGTTAGGAAAATGCATTGGGTAATAAGTGTACATGCACGTGAATAAAGTACGTTTTTCCTAAATTAGTTTCATTTACAAAGAATTTTTCGAATCGAATCGGAATCTAGATTGAATCTCTCAAACTAAAATGGGTGATAGATTCGTCACGTTGGATTTTTTTTTAGGTAATTTAATAATCTTGACCAAAATGGCTCATTAGACAAATATTACTTCATTATCTTTGGATATCTGGTGGGAAATTTCTAATATGGGTCTACACTTCTTTATTTGTCAAGTTTTCATGTTGATAGTATGCATGTTTTATCATACACACCTTTTTTTTTGAAAATCAACTAATTTCTTTATCTCATTGATAATTACCGTAATGATGCAGTGAATTAAGATGGTGTAACGTACATTTATCAAATGCTATAGAAAATACAATTGATGCAATTATATAGATTTATGTTCGCAATGGATCATTTCAAGTCTTCCCCCCTTGTTTTTAAAAAAAAAATCGGTTTGTAAGCAACCTAAAATAATTGTTGCGTAACGAAGCTAGCTGCACAATCATAATCATATGATCCCTTGATAAAGATGTAAATGATACAAGTCCACGACTTTCTTTCATTTCGAAATCGCATCTCATCAATTCATGTGGCAAAAAGTCAATCATACTCTAACAAGTAGGTTCCTGTATACCGGTATGCAAGTCTTTTATTCTCACGTGATTGACACTAGCTAATTGCGCGTCCTATCTCGAGCATTTACGTTTTACATAAATAACACTATAACACATGACATTACATTATAACAAATCACTTTTCATTCTATTAAAAAAAAAACGAAAATTCTAGTTGGAATGCAAACCCAAGTTATAAACGATAGAAATTTATGGATTGTTTTTGGTAAAAAAAGTTTCGTCCTTGAAGTATTAACGGTACAAGATCGGCGTGATAACTGAAAAATAACAGTATAGATACTTCCGTAACATCACAGAAACTAGTCGTGGCACTAAAAAAAAATAAAGGAAATTGCACTCAAATATGATTACTACAAAAGGGCTCTTTATTAAACCTTTCATCTCCCATCTTTTTTTCCCTCGGCATCATTTCATACGACTTAAGTGTGTATAATAAAGAGTCAAATTGTATAAATTATGAATTCAACATCAATAAAACCAGTATTTTTGAATGGTATGTTACACTCGAATTTATTCACAACTCCTTTTTATTTCATTCCCATAAAGTTACGTGGCCAATAAGCTTTAGAATTATAGAAAACAGAACGTACTTTCTTTTTGTTATCCTCTCATGGTGACCTTTGACACAGTATAACAACAGAAAATCAATTTTGAAAAAAACAGGATTTTAATGCATACAAAGCTCCACGAAATTTCAAGCCATATGTGGTATGTAGTGACAGGTGAACAAGATGTTGATTGTAAAAGGTCACAAAAAATTTTTTTTTCAAAAATTGCCGATCCTTGCGTAATACTCACTAAAATGCACATAATTAAATTTTTGAATATATTAAAATGCAATACTAAGAAATTATTTTTGGATATACATAATTTATGCTAAAAATAATAAAATAAAGTCATACAATAGAGATCATCCAAAATTAAAACCAAATTGTGTTAAAATTTGTGTATTAAAAAGATTATGGCATTCGGACTATCAATTGCGAATTTTAATTTCTTTATGACAAATGAAAACAAACAATATGGGAGCTAAGCTATTAAAATCAGGTACGAGGATACTTTATCCAAAAGTGAGATTTTATTTCATATTATTGTATGATACAGAGTATGCATTTTATCTAGTTTAATTTTTATGGTTTATAGAAAAAAATTATCAAATTTTGTGTAACATTAATAACATAACAATTTTAAAAATAGATTTTTAGAAAGATTTATATATATTTTGGAAATGATCATTATAATGAAGGGTAGAGGAAATCCAAAAATTTTGTTAATAATGATCAAAATTTGGATTTTCCTCCTTTTTTTACTAACTGATACCTATATAACAAAATATAAAGTTATATAACAAATGCTTCTTAAGATTTTTTAATACCAAAATTTAATTGATATAAAAATAAGTGTATCAATTTTCTAAGGATAGATTTAATAACAAACTTTAGCATTTAATTATAACAAAATTTAAAATTTTAAATAAAATTTTTAAATTTAGTATTATCTTATTAATCTTTATTTTTATTTTTTATTATAGTTAATATGATGATTAATAAGAATATTACAATAAATTTTAATATTATAGTTATCAGTATTAGAAATATTTTAGGTCTTTATTAGAATATATAGTTTTATTATGATTCAGATTTTATCAAATTATTAAATTAAACCTTTTACAAATTACTAAACATCCAGAATTATATATCACTTTAGTTGAGAATTTATTATATTATAATACTTTATATCAGAATATTATTTACTATAATATAATCTATAATTTTCTTATGTTCATATAAATCAGTAATTAGAATTAATCCTATCCAACAAAATGGTAATCTGATCACATTGACAAATATTTTAAAAATTTAATCTAACTAATTAATACTACATTATGTAATACAATCTATTAATATTTAAGTTTAATCTTCTAAATTTTATTAATTACTTCCTTACTATTATAAAAGACTATATCTATTATAGACCTATCAACAAAAACTAAGTTTTATCAATTTCTAATTTTATTATATCAACATATTTTAATACTTATAATATTTAGGCATAATTAATATTGATTGATAGATTAATTAATCAAATTTATATGCATATTAATATTTATACCTATTAGTTTAGCCATAATAATATTCTTATAAAAATTATATAGTTATGATACTTAAATTATATATATAATAAACTTTATATTATAGCAGACTTATAAATTAATAACTGAATTAAAATTATCCTACCTTTAATATTACCTTATTAATTTTTTTTAACAGGCTGTATAAGTAATAAATACTCAATTATAATATTCTTTGATAGAATATAATTATCAATAATATTAGAATTCTATTAGAACTCTTTAGCTTTATTAAGCAACCTTTATATGTTTAATTAGTTCAAAATTTTTAGACTTAAGCTTTTTAAAAATATTTTAATATTTTCTATTAATTACCATTAATCTGAAATTACTTATTATTATAGGATTAAAAAATCTATTATACTATAATCTTTGTCAAAATTATAGTTACTATAATAGGTAGTTTACAATTTTTTTATGCTAATATAATGTATTTAAACTAATAATCTTATCTAACAAAGTGGTAATCTGACTATATTAACAATATCTTAAGAATTA